CTCAGGCAATCCACTCACCTCAGCCTCCCAAAGCGCAGGATTACGGGCTGAGCCACCGAGCCCAGCTCATAACACTTTCAATAGAGAACTTGACATCATATGCATTTATTTTAGTATTACCTTCTATATATTAAGTAGCTAGAACAAATAAATAATTGGTGGTGCGGCAGGTGCTGAAAGGAACAAAAAAGGGGAAAAGCAGCAAGGTTTTTATACAAATTATAAAAGTTAAAATCTTTAAATAAATCTTTCATAGAAAGATAAAAGGAAAAGTATTTTAAAAGTTTCCCAAGGCTGGGCATGGTGGCTCATGCCTATAATCCCAGTACTTTGGGAGGCTGAGGTGAGAGGACTGCTTGAGCCCAGGAGTTTGAGACCAGCCTGGGCAGCATAGTGAGACCCGGTCGCTACAAAAAAACTAAAAAATTAGCTGAGTGTGGTGGCACGTGCCTGTAGTCCCAGTACTTGGAAGCTGAGGTTGAGTACAGCTTGAGCCCCGGAGGTCAAGGCTGCGGTAAGCCATGACAGAGCCACTGTACTGCACTCAAAAAAAAAAAAAAGTTCTCCAGAAAGTAAAAGAGGACTAACTGATTAATTTCTATTCAAGAAAATAGCAATTTTTAAATATGACAGTAAAGAGTATATTTTAAAAGATCTTCTATAGTGCATTTTATTATATACATTTCCTACAGGATTGTTTACATTGTTATAGTAATCCTCGAAGAGAAAGCACAAGTATTTACATGCACACATCTTTCACCTTTCTTAGCTATTCATATTCCAGTAGAGGCTCCTGCCATTTACCTGACAGCAGCTCACTCCCAAATTGGGGCTACAGTAATAAGAACACAATGGGCTTCTCATGCTGGTCTACCTTTCCAATTTACAAAGCCATGGTGGTTTTTTTGGGGCAGGGCAGAGATGAGGGTCTTGCTATGCTGCTCAGGCTGGTCTTGAACTTTTGGCTCCAAGTAATCCTCTTGCCTCGGCCTCCCAAAGTGCTGGGATTACAGGTGTGAGCTATCATACCCGGCCTGCTTAAAACATTTTAAAGTCATTTATGGCAGGTTAAAATTTTAAATGATACCAGCAGCACTTAAGGCTGGCAAAAATCATAAAGATAGAATATGAACTGCAGTTTAGGGAACACTGGCAGGTGACAGGGGTTGCTTTGAGTTTATTTCATTCTCAATCAGGGGATTTGAGAAATTGTCCAGTAGCTCTCTAACTGCCTGAGCCCGGAGCTATAAGACTGACATCTCATTTTAGCTCATTTATTGAAACTACTGAAATAAAACACTTGTACTAAATTCAAAGTCTTGAGAGAAATGGAATAAAAAACAGGTTATATAACAGTAAGGTTTCAGGATGATCTGCATATGTAAGACTAAATACTGTGTATGATCTTATGTCATACTACATATTTGTCAAGGACTTAGTTGAGCATATTTTTAAGAAGCTTGATTACTTATATTTTTCTATTTAAATTACTAACTCCTCTTATTACTTCAACGTATCAAATAAGAAAAATCAAACACTTGGACAGGCTTTGTATTTTTTCGATATAAGACATCATTTCTTGATTTAAAAACTGATAATGATATTTACATGTAAGCAAAATATTTAAGATATGAAATATTTAGATATGGTTTTAGAAATCACATACCCAAGATTCAGAACCTAAAATGCATACCCATGATATCAAATACTTTATGTAACAACTTTATGTGTGTCTGCTTTCTTAGTGGAAGGAAGTGTGAATGGAATATAAATTATATACTTAATATTTGCCTAGGGAAAATATACTTACCATAAGTGATGTTGAATTGATTATAAAGATTTTCACTAGGAATTAGTATTTCTTTTTTTTTAAAAATTAATATTTCTAAGATACACTTAAGCAACAGAATATATATCACTACATCTTATTCTACGCTTAAGTTCAGAGTTATTATCTAGACTAAATGTTTAAAATGTTTACTCAGTAGTTTGTTCATTTCCAACTCAGAAAATAAACTCCAACCTTTGCATTTGTTAGGAGCATGAAACAATCTTATTTATTTATAAATTGGAACCTTTAAATTAAGAGTTAAAATGCAACAATGAGAAACATAAAAGCAGCACAATAAATTAAGAATAAAGCACTTGGAAATCACAAAGTATGCTAACAAACAAAATAAATTATAGCAAATGATAAGAAGTGAAACCAAATAAAAATTACTATCCTTTTACATGAAAGAGTATAAGTACCAAGAGCTTTCTTCTCAACAAAGAACCCATCATATAGCATATAGCCTATAAGAACACAGAACACACCTATATATGAGGTGTGTGAGCATGCATACTTTCTAGAACAGTCACGTGTGCCTTTATATTAGCCAACAGTTAATGTGTTTAGGTAGCCAACTACTTACTTAGGGGCCAACTGATGGAAACATCTTTGGCAGATATTCAGAAGAAACAGAATATCTGTAATGTACATTGCCAACTTTTGGAGATTAGCTGTAGCATACATATTCCAAAACGTTTGAGTTTATTTTTCAGACCAAATATTTTTACAAGATAACTCTGCAAAAGGTTGAAAAAATAAAAACTGCCAAATGAATAAAGAAAATAGAAAATGCTCTTCAGTGGTCAGTCAAAATAGTTAATGAAGACTATAAAATATTAGAGTCATACCTGAGACCTAGAAAATTTAAAAACAATTGGAAACTAGTTTTGTAACTGGAAGATACTCAGTAAGTATTCATATACAGGATATACTAGAACTCTCTGGCTCTTTATAAATCTGTAAGATATGCCAACATTCTTTATATATTAAGAGACATTCTATGGTACTTAAAAGAAAATTCTGGAAGAAAATATTAGTGCCAACATCTAATCTCATTTTGCATTTAAAACAACAGCTTTCAAAACTTAAAATTCTTTTCTTTTTTTGAGTTGGAGTCTCACTCTGTCGCCCAGACTGGAGTGCAGTGGCTGCTCCTGGCCACCGCAGCCTCGACCTGCTGGGCTCTGGCGATCCTTCCGCCTCAGCCTTCCGAGTAGCTGGAACTACAGGCACGTGCTACCACGTCCGGCTAACAAAATTTAAAATTCTAATTTGCAAACTATTTTATTGGGATTAAGTTGACTTTGAAAATTTACTCATGTATACATTTAAATTTTCAATCTAAAAAGGGTTGGTTTTACATATCAATTTAGTCATTAATAGTTACTCACTTCACTATTAATCCCTGTCTATTTAATAGAAGGGGTCTAAACTTGTACTACAAACCTGTGACACATTAATTATATTTTACAACCACAGACATTACAAGAATCTTGCGTTTTTATACTTTTTTTGTCTTTTTTTTTTTGCTGTAGAGACAAGGTCTCGCCAAGTTGCCTTGACTGGTCTTAAACCCACGGCCTCAGGCAATCCACTCACCTTGGTCTCCTAAAATACTGGGATTACAGGTTGAGCCACCAAGACTGGCCCTCGTTTTTATATACTATTAACCAGCATTCAAAGTCATTCATGATTAGGATCTATTCTCCAAGTACAATAATATAAAAGATACCTCTTGTCCATCAACTGAGGTGCTGTAGTCATCTTAAGTAGATAACCATTTTGAGTTCAGCTACTTAAATAACTGAATGCTTTTGACAATAGAAAATGTCAAAATTGTGTCTTACAAAGTTTTTTCTCTTCTCTAAAGTCAAAGGTCTGTTTGAGACTTTAATGTCACTGCTTTAGAAGAGTCTGGGGGCAGTGACAACTACCATATAAGGATGGGTACTGCATTCCATAACCATGAGTATGGCGTAATGGTTCTTCCACAATTCCTTGGGAGGCAACAGATTTATTGTAATTTTACATTTAAAAAAATTATATTGTTTTCAAATAAGTAGAATGTTTTATTTACTGACCACATCTTAGAAGAAGCCTTTCAATTTTCTTTTTGACATGTTTGAACAAGCAGATGAATGAAACGTATTTCACAGAAACCACAAAACTCACGTCAGGTGTGAAAGTGCCTTTTTTTTTTTTTTACCTGACAAGTCAAAACTGTGAGACATGCTAAGTGGCCGGATTGCTGAAAAAAAGAAAACAAACAATAAAAAGAAAATAATTCAGCTGTTAGGAATATACAGAGAGGACAAAAAAGGGGGATGGGTAAAAGAAGACCCTCAGGGACACGTCCTCAAGGCAGAAGCTAGTGAATACAACCCAAGTACTTAAAAGCATGCAAAAGTCTTAGTTTCAACTGTATCACTAAGACTTGAAATGGAATAACAATAAAAGGAAAAAACAACTTGTTAAAGAACAAGTTAAAAATGAAAGCATGATAAAGATACAACATTTTAAAGAATCACAGATGGGATTTTTGACTTAAAAATAAAATAGATTTTTTAAAAAGCCATGGTTTAAAACATGATTTTAGGGAGCATACAAAATCTTTAAAATTTAGAGTAAATATGTCCTTCAACAATTTATGTAAGAATAAAAATTTGGCTCTCCCAATAAAGGTGAAGCATTTCGTCAAAATTCTCGGTCAAGAACTAGCAGCAACCCAATGTCTCAATAAACTATGTAAGGCAGGCAGTGTAACTGAGTAGCTGAAAGAAAAACCAAACTGCCCAAATTCAAATCTCAGCTCTGCCACTTGCTAGTAGCATGATCCCAGGTAAGTTACTTAACCTCTCTGTGCTTACATTACTTCATCTTTACATGAGAATATGGTCCCTATCGCACAGGATTGCTATGAAGATGAAATGATTTCATATAAGAAAAGGTGCTTCGAATGGTCCTTGACACACAGTAAAAGCTCAACGCAGTAGATCCTCCTTATCTGTGTTTCCCTTTCTGCGGTTTCAGTTAAACCTGTGGCCCAAAAATATTAAATGGAAAATTCCAGAAGTAAACAATTCACAACTTTTAAGTTGCATGCCTCCTGAACATTATTATAATTTTTCTACTTTATCATTAGTTATTGTTGTTAATCTCTTTCTGTGCCTAATTTATGAATTAAATTTTATCACTGGCATACATATATAAGGTTTGGTACTAGCCATGGTTTCAGGCATCCAAAGGGGTCTTGGAATGTATCTTTCAATAAGAGAGACTATTGCAATTATTATTTCTTAAATATAAAATTACTATTTATTTTCTATTGAAAGAATTTGTTTTTAAAATTTATTATAGTTAATGAAATGAAGGAATTTTAAATGAATGAATTTTTATACTTTAAATGAATGAATTTTACAGTATGTAAATACCATTAAGCTCAGTAAAGCTATTAAAAATGATTGTGAAAGTAGGTATTACCTATTTTTACTGCTGTCTAAAACTCTTACTAACACTGTGACAAGAGTACATCAAAGAGAACTTTTTTTCTGTGACTTAGGTTAGTCTTCTATTACTGTTAAGAAACTGCCACATCAAACACCGAAGCATGCATTTCCAATATCCAGTAGACCATTCCTCGGTCCTTCCCCATGAGGGGAAGAACTAAATCCATTTCTCCATTTCAAGAACTAAATCCACCAGGACTTCTCAGTCTCCAAAACTGCTGAAGCCAAAACAACGTCTCTCTGAATATCTTTTGTCTCATTCTTCCTTCCATTCTTGTAAATCCTCTTCATATAAACAGAAGAGGATGATTTGAGATGTTAATTATTTCTCCTTGTAATTTTTTCATCACCCCATTTCACAAAGTTGGCCCCTTAGTGAAACTTTGTTATCACTAAAGACGAGCTTGCCTTTCTGACTTTCGATTTCTGGAAGCCTGAGATCTGGTAGGCATCATGTCCTGTGGGGAGGGCAGGTACCTTTGCAGTCAGAGAAGGATACAACTGTAGGTCAACAGTGGCTTTGGAAGTACAGGTCTATCAGGCAGAATGTCTCCCCAGTTGCTGCTTTTCCAGGGAGGTATCTTCTAGAGTTTCTAGATGGCCCCAATTTAATGAAATATATCTCTTAAACACACACACACACACACACACACACACACACACACACACACACACATTTTTTTAAGTCAGTGTCTCACTCTGTTGCCCAGGCTGGAGTGTAGAAGCATGCGCACAGCCACTGCAGCCTCAATCTGCCAGGCTCAGCTGATTCTTTTGCCTCAGCCTTCCAAGTAGCTGGAACTATAGGCATACATCACCATGCCCACCTAATTTTTTTTTTTATTTATTGTGAAGACAAGGTCTCGCCAAGTTGCCCAGGCTGGTCTTGAAATCCTGGGCTCAGGCAATCCTCTCGCCTCCACCTCCCAAAGTGCTGGTATTACAGGCATGAGCCACTGCGCCCAGCTCACCATATAATTTAACAGATTTTTTTTAAAGGAATCATTTATAGTTGAAACCCAGAAGCTCAATATAGAATCTTTAAAAATAATGTGAAAGAAAAGCATTGAATTACATTCTAAGCACATCTTAGCAAGATGTCAGAACCATATGTAGATGTTTTTGAATGCACACATGTTAACAAAGGAGATGTACATCTTAGACGGGGCAAATAAAGCAACTATTTTTTAACAATTATACTTATTGTTTGAGGGTCAGGAAATAATATTTTATGTATTTTCATCCTAATGCATAAATTAGGACATAGTTTTTAAATAGGCACTTTATTGTGTTTTGGCTTTCTTATAGGAGACTGGTTAGGGATTTTGTGTTGGGAAGAATAATTTTCTTGCCATTACAAAAACTATATTTCTAAACTCATAAATTATCTACCCTTATGTTTTCCTAGTTATATACAGCAAATACGATACTACATATTCCCACGACACTTTTCAGTTTTCTCTAATATCTTCTTATTTTGTTCTTCTCTGGTACATAAATGTATCTTTTGAAATAAGAGTGACTACTGAGTAAGAAAGGGATACTATTATTTCTTTGGAGATGAAGTTCCTTTCTTTTCTTAAGATGTTTAGAAAAAAGAAAATGATCAGACACATGAACAAAGACTGATACACAAGAATAGTAATTTCAAACTTAATAGGGAAAAAGGAAATAAGCCTGTGAGACATAAGGAAAGAGATGACTAAAACACAATTTAGCCATCTGTTAAGAGATCATGTTCATATAAACATGTTTTGAGTCATAGTTAATGACATTAGTAAGCTCTGCCACTTATTAGTAGTGTGTTCCCAGGCAAGTTACCTCTCTTTAAATTACTTCATCTTTAAAATGAGAATAGTACCTATGCCAAGGGATTGTTATAAAGATTCAATGACTTCATATAAAAAAGGTGCTTAGAATAGTGTTTGACACATAGTAAAAGCTTAATACAGTAGGCCTTCCTTATCTGCATTTCGCTTTCTGTGGTGCAGTTACCTATAGTAATGATACTAATATTCATGCCACACACAATATTAAATGGAGAGAGCCGAATACTGTGGACACACAGTGCCCATTTTGTAATGCCCAAGTAGATTCACTGGTCCTGGATGCCTCTGACTGTTGAAATCATGGGTAACATTTTCTTCTTTAAACATTTCCCCCATTTCTGCAGTGGGTTTCTACTTATAACTGCATGGAGGGAAAAGGTTATAAAAATATTTAAGGGAAATTTTCTTTAAGTTAATTCTGCCAACATTATCCTAACCAAACTTCCCAAAGCAAAATTTTGTAGTAAGAACTAACATAGGTCTGTAGGAAAAATAAGCCCCAATGGCTTACTTCCCAATTAAGGTTTAAGATCAGTTTGAACTCAAAGTTGAGAAGTAAGTCTACAAGTAAGACTCTCAATGGAACAATCTTTGCTATAACAGCTCAATTTTGGTTGTTGTGAAACACCAACTCCCAAGGTTAAAATAAAAATAAGACATGCTCAACATAAAAATGATATTTAATTGTCCTAAAGTAGGGATCCCATTAGTTAGCATCTAAATATAATTTTTAAAAAGTGAAGCTGAAGAATATGTATGTGACAGAGTCTTGCTATGGGAGACTGAGTTACTAATCAAAAAGCTCCCAAAGACCAAACCCAGAACCAGATAAATCCACTGGTGAATTCTATCAAACACTGAAAGAAGAATTAAGCCAGCCCCTTTCAAACTCTTCAAAAACACTGAAGAGTGGGGAATACTTCCAAACTCATGTTTTTTTCTGAATTGGGGTTTCACTATGTTGCCCATGCAGGAGTGTAGTGGCATGCTCACAGTTCACCACAGCCTTGACCTCCTGGGCTTAGGTGATCCTTCTGCCTTCTGAGTAGCTGGGACTATAGGTATGTGCCACCATGCTTGGCTAATGTTTTGATTTTTTTTTTTATAGAGATGAGGTCTCATTATGTTGCCTAGGCTGGTCTTGAATTCCTGGGCTCAAGCAATCCTCCTACTTCAGCTTCCCAAAGTGCTTGGATTACAGGTGTGGGAGCCACCACTGCGCCTGGCAGATGACATGATCTTATATATAAAAAAAAACCCTAAAGACTCCATTAAAACAAAAACAAAAACTGTTAGAACTAGTAAACAAATTCAGTGAAGTTACTAGATACAAAATCAACATACAAAAATCAGTTTTGTATCTGTACATTATTAACAAACTATCTGAAAAGGAAATTAGGAAAACAATTCCATTTGTCATAACACCAAAAAGAATAAAATACCTAAGAGTAAACTTAACTAAGGAGGTAAAAGATTTGTATACTAAAAACAGTAAGATATAAAAAAATAGAAAAACATCCTGTATTCACAGGTTAAAAGACTTACTGTTAAAATATATATCCTACCCAAAGCTATATACAAATTCAATACAATCCCCAGGAAAATTCTAATGGTATTTTTAAAAACTGAAATAGAAGAAAAACCCTAAAATTCGTATAGAACCACAAAAGACATCAATTAGCCAATCAATCTTGAAAAAGAAGAACAAAGCTGGAGGCATCACACTTTTTGATGTTAAAATATATTACAAAGTTATAGTAATCTAAATAGTAGGTACTGGCAAACAGACAGAATAGACCAGTGGAACAAAATGGAGTCTAGAAATAAACCCATGCATGTATGGTCAACTGATCTTTGACAAGGGTGCCCAGAATATACAATGAAGAAAGTACAGTTTCTTCAACAAATGGTGATGGGAAAATTGGATTTCATGTTCAAAAGAATGAAATTGAACTCTTATCTTAATACTGACTCAAAATGGATTAAAAACTTAAACATAAGACCTGAAACTGTCCTATGAAAAAACGTAGGGAAAAGCTTCATGACACTGGTCTTGGCAATAATTTCATGGATAAGACAGCAAAAGCACAGTCAATAAGAACATAATAAAACAACAAAAACAAAAATAAACAAATGAGTCTACATCAAACTAAAAGCTTCTGCACAGCAAAGGAAACAATCAATAGAGTGAAAAACCCACTTTATGCCAGAAAATATTTGCAAACCATATATCTGATAAGGGGTTAATATTCAAAATACAGAATAAGCTCCTACAATTCAACAGTAAAACAACCAATAACATGATTAAAAAATGGGAAAAGGGCCTAAATTTATATTTTTCCAAATGGCCCACAGCTATATGAGAAAATGCTCAACGTCATTAATCATCAGGGAAATGCAAACCAAAACCACAGTAAGTTATCAACATCACATCAGTCAGGATGGCTATTATCAAAAAAGCAAAAGATAACAAGTATTGGCAATGATGTGAAGGAACTGAAGTCCTTTATATGCCGAAATAAGAATGCAAAATGATGCAGCTGCTATGGAAAAGAGAATGGAGTTCCCTCAAAAAATTAGAAATACAACTACCATATGATCCAACAAGTCCACTTCTGAGTACATATCCAAAAAAAAAATCGAAATCAGGATCTTGGATAGATATTAGTATTCCTATATTCATAGCAGTATAATTCACAATAGCCAAGATGTGGAAACAACCTAAATGTCCATTGACAGATGAATGGATAAGGAAATGTTTACACACACACATATACCAATGTATTTATAAACACACACACACACACACACATCATGGAATACTATATAGCCTTATAAAAGAAGGAGATTCTGCAATATGCACCAACATGGATGAACCTTTAGGACAGGGGTCCTCAAACTACGGCCCGCGGGCCACATGCGGCCCGCTGAGGACATTTATCCGGCCCATCGGGTGTTTTGCCGCCTTAACTTGTTACGACTATCGTGACAAATGTGGAACCCGACATTGACCATCTCATTAGCCAACAGCAGGCCCATGGTTCCCATTGAAATACTGGTAAGTTTGTTGATTTAACTTTACTTGTTCTTCATTTTAAATATTGTATTTGTTCCCGTTTTGTTTTTTCACTTCAAAATAAGATATGTGCAGTGTGCATAGGAATTTGTTCATAGTTTTTTTTTTTTAAACTATAGTCCGCCCCTCCAATGGTCTGAGGGACAGTGAACTGGCCCCCTGTTTTAAAAGTTTGAGGACCCCTGCTTTAGGATATTATGCTGAATGAAATAAGCCAATCAAAGAAAGACAACTACTGCATGATTCCATTTACATGAGATATCTAAAATAGTCAAACTCATGGAATCAAAGCATAGAATGGTAGCTGCCAGGGCCTGGAAGAGGCATTGAGGAGTTTACTCCACAGGCATAAGTTTCAGTCAAACAAGATGAATAAGCTCTAGAGATCTGCTGCATAATAATGTACCTATAGTTGACAATATGTATTGTACACTTAACATTTGTTGAGAGGGCAGATCTCATGTTAAGCCGGTGTTTTTCTACAATTAAAAAAAAATTCTGCTGGGTGTGGTGGCTTATGCCTGTAATTCCAGCACTTTGGGAAGCTAAGAAGAGAGAATCACTTGAGCTCAGGAGTTCGAGACCAGTCTGGGCAACAAGGCTGTAGTACTAGCTACTGGGTGGGCTGAGTTGGGAGGATCACCGGGCCCGGGAGGTCAAGGCTGTGATCATTTCACTACACTCCAGCCTGGGTGACAGAGTGAGATCCTGTCTCAAAAAAGAAAATAAAAGAAAAAGGATTGCTGTGATACTTAAGTGCAATAGGGAGTGTCCCCTTAACTGCTTAAAATAATTACTATTCTTCCTCTTATACTCCCTTAAATGGCCTCACTTAAAGACATTATGACTGCTGTAAATGTTTATTTATCTCTCTTGTAATATGAACGTGCATGGCGCTTGAGAGTCACTATCCTGGAAGCATTTTCTGAGAAGGGTCTACGCCTCATTTATCTCTATGGCCCCAGCTGCTGGCACAATGAATAAGAAGCCGTACAGCTTCAAAAAAGTGTTGGGAAAATTAAGGAACCAAATGTAAAATATCAATCCAAGTCAAAGAAACACATTATGCTTGACTTGTTCCTTTCTACAGTGTGCTGAATTGATGCTTCCATTGAAGTCTACCATCCCTAAACCTAGTTACTCCTCACTCTTGTAAACCATAAACTTACTTTTCTTGTGGTAACATATTTGTTTTACCTTACAGTTTTGTTGAAATATTTTCTATTAATCCCATTATTCTCTTAAAGGTAGAGTAAATTTTAAAAATATAGTCTTAAACTATCATTCTACAGTACCATTTTCTTTTTTTTTCGTAGTGGTACCCTTTTTCTTTTTTTTTTTGACAACATTTGAGTACCAAAGTTCTTACTTTTTTGATGCTATGGATCCTTTAGGAATTTTAGGAAAGCTATGCACGATTGCGCCAGAAAAACACACATATATACACTTTACGCAATATGCAAATTTTGTATATCTCAGAGGATTCACAGACCATCCTTAAGCCCATTCAAGGATTCCCAGGAATAAAAACTCTTGGTCTGCATGGTTTGAATGTTTTGGTTCATAATTATAAACATGCTTATCTGGATTTGTCATTTAGCAATGCTTTAAACATTTTGAAGAGACAAAACTTGCTGCCATAAAAATTAAAGAGGAATCTATTGATACAACCTTTATTTACTCTGTAGCTTTGTCACCAGAAGGTACATTTAATTATTTCAATACATATGGGAGTACTTTGTACAGCCCAATCCTGTATGAGGGAGACAACAACGAACAAGACAGATCAGGGGTCTGCTATCATGGAGGTCACACTATAACAGAAGGGCCAGGACTAAACAAGGAAAATTAACAGGGAATGGCTGAAGAGTTGAAGACCGGAAGCAGGGAAAACAGAGGGTTGATGTGACAGACAAGAGCAGATGACAGCCAGTCGGGAGAGTGAGAAGACTGGAAGATTAGAAAGACCCAGAAGTAAAATCAACAGGGCTTAGCTATCAGGTTTCTGAAGTTTCTATCTCGGTGAACCAGGATGAGATGACCTGGGGAAAGAGGATGAGTTCACTTGTGGACATGTTGAGTTTGTCTTGCTTGCAGGATATGAGGAGCTCCCATCTAGCAAACAGCTGGATGTATGGGTCTACATTTTTGGAGATCTGCACTGTAAATTGTTAGCTGGAAGGTAGTCAGAAACAAAAACCATGGAAACCAGGATAGAAATTTTAAGGACCAAGGAGTCTGACGAGGCAGAAAAAGAGATTAGAGGAAAAAACTAGCAGAGCATGGGTCACACAACTGTTTTCTTTCCTGTTCAGAAATATGATCTGTTTTCCTAAAGGAAGTTTCTCTGAATTCTTTGGGTATCCTTACATTTTCAAACTGGAGGAGAGCTATATAAATAAAGATGTTTACAAGCACCTTAAAATATGGCCTTGCTATAAATAAAAACCAATGTGTGTTTATAGTACACATTAAAAATTAAAAACAATAAATATAAAGAAGTTTGGGAACAAGTTAAGCGATAGCAGATAATAACTAATGCTTTCATCACAGAATATTGTATCTTTATACCCATAATTTAGAAACAAAACTACGTATCACCTGTATTTCTAAGATACAGTCCATACTTATCTTTGTATATGCATTACATTTTTTTTTTTAATAGGGGATTTCACTCTGTCGCCCAGGCTGGAGTACAGTGGCACGATCATGACATTACAATTCATGGCAGCCTTGACCTCCTGGATTCAGGCTATCCTTTCACCTCAGCATCCCAAGTAGCTAGGACTATGCCTGACCAATTTTTAAATTTTCTCTGTAGAGATGTGGTTTCACTATGTTGCCCAGGCTGGTCTCAAACTCCTGGGCTCAAGCAATCTGCCAGCCTTGGCCTCCCAAAGTGCTGGGATCACAGGTGTGAACCATTGTGCCCAGCCTGTATATACATTACAACTTATAAAGTTTTTTTTTTTTTTTTTTTTTGCCAAAATCCTATTTAACTCTTACACAAAATCCATAATGTAGATAAGAGGAATTTTTAATCCCCATGTGCTAATGCAGAAAACGATATTCAGAGAGGTAAAGAGTCTCCTGAAATCTCAGTCTAGAAACTGGCAGAGCTCTTTCAGTTGTGCCATGATGCTCTTGTATAGCTCAGTATCAGACAGGAGAAGACTATCCCATCCTGTGAATTTGAAGTACAAACTTCTTAAGTGTGATGGGGTATGTGTATGCAAGAAAGAGAGCAAGAAGGAAAATGAGTGCCAGAGAGAAAGAGAAATGAACAAGCAATGAGAACCCCATGGATCATTTTTACTGCCCGCCATTATTTTCATGGGGCTAGTTATATAAAGGCACTTTTTCCAGTAGATGACTCAAAGTGGACAGTATAAGAAGCAGAGGACTCACCTAGTTTGCTACGTCTAATCTCCTCTGGTGAGACAGGTCGCAATTTTCTTTCTGCTTTAATTTCTTCTAATATTCTTTCATGGAGGCTCCGTGGCCGTGGTGGGGTTGGCTTCAGTTTTCTGGCGGAGGCCTTGAAAAAGAAAACATAATGGCTAGAGATTTGAGTACTTGTCCTAAGTAATTTTTACTCAAGTCCATTCATACAGTATAGTATTATAAATTATATTTCATTGACTGTAACATTACTTGATAAAAGACTATTTTCAAGCCATTAAATATCAAGATCCCTAAAGCAATGTGGATTTCACAGTGACTTAGTCACATAGGCTCAACTAATTTTATTTTATTTTTTAAAGAAAGGGTCTGGTTATATTGCACAGGCTGGAGTGCAGAGGCTATTCACAGGTGTGATCATATAGTACCTTATAGCCTTGAAATCCTCAGTTCAAGTGATCCTCCCACCCCAGTCTCCCAAGTAGCTGGGACCACAGGTGTGTGCCACTGCACTTGGCTTGCTCAACTAATTTTAGGCAGTCTAATTTGCTAAAGTTATAGTTATGTTCCCTACACGCTAGCATGACAGGCAATCAATTTTAATGTAGGCTATACTTTACTAATATTAGTTTCAAAAACTAACATCTTTTAGTAACTCACCATGGCCTTCTTACATTATTATTATCTTCATTCTATAACTGAAGAAATAAAGGCTCAGGGAGGCTGATCAACTCCCATATGGACATGCAGCTGCTAAACTGTGGAGCCAGCGTGCAAATCCAGGTTCTGTAACTTGCCTGTCCCTTCTGCTCTACCATGACTTCCCTTCCTAAAATCACTTTGTGGGTGGTCTCTTTCGCTTCCTTTAAATAAATGTATGAAAAGAATCATTAATTATGCTTTGGCTGTACACAAACTGGAAAATACCATTCCCCTTATAGTTACTCTATGCACACTGTTTTGAGAGACTTTGGTGAGAGCTGATATTGAACCAGGGGAAAAAAGAAGTGAGGAAGAGAGAAAACACAAACCAATATCCAAACAGAACATTTCAATGTCACTAGCAAGCACTCTGTTAACAGAGGAAGATTATGAACACAAAAGTGGATGCACAATAAGGTGCATTTATTGTAACACAGTGGCAATATAATAAGAAGGGGTAGCAGTACTATACAGTAAATTGTAAAGGCAATCTCTGCCATGAATTATCCACTGTTACATTAGCTGTTACTATAGGAGGTATATTACCAGATTTTGCACCATAACCCAGGCTGTTGTGAGTAAAACCATCCTAAGACATCCTTGTACTGAATAATTTAAAGATCTTTCAGTGACTTAAAAATATTATTTACAGCTGGGCTTCATCATTAGAACAAAAGCTCAGTGGAAAAACTAACCACTTAGCAGAACTGAATTCTAGAGATGACACTCTAGAGGAGAATAGTTCCTGATGATGTCTCTAACCAAGAGGAATAGGTCACATTACATACTGGATTTAAAGGAGGTCTTGATCTGATGAAGTCAAGGATGATTTCATGAGCACTCTTTTTTAACCGAGGGGGAATATCACCATTCACCTAAAAGGAGACAAAAAGTAGAAGTTTCATTATGAGTTTTGGGGTACAGCTGTTATCTCAAATATGCCACAAAATTAGTGAAGTGTAATCTGGTTCTACCAGGAATATGTTTCAAATCTATAAAGTGGAAAGTAAACAGCTGAGTGATTCAGAACAAAAGTAACTGTGGAAATATAGAAAATCCAAGTTCACAATAATTCTACCATTTTGGGAAACTACAAGTAGAGACCCAAAAAACTCAGAATTTATTAAAAATTGGGTATTCTTACATGTTTAAACTTCAGTCACCGTCAAAGTACTCTCCGTTTGATGCAATACACCTATCGAGATGCTTTTTCCACTGCTCAAAACAGTTTTGAACTCATCAGTCTGGATGCCTTTTAGTGCTTCTGCCATTTTTTTGTTTTGCCTCTTCAACATGGGCAAAACGTTTCCCTGTGAGGACTTTTTTCATTCAGGGAAACAAAAATAAGTTGTTTGGGGTGAGACTGGGTGAATAGGGAGGTCATAATGTTTTGGTCAAAAGCTGCTGAACACTCAGTGCAGTGCAGGCAGGTGTGTTGTCATGGTGGAAGAACTGGTTACCTGTTTGCCACAACTTGGGATGTTTCTTCTACAAATCGTGACACAACCTTTTCAAAACTTCCAGATGAAAACTTTGGTTGACTATTTGATCTGGAGCAACAGATACCAAGTGTACTACAAGGAGCCCGCCCTCCAAAAGATAATTTCATTTGTTGGGGGTTTCTCTTCATTTATGAGACATATTCCTTCCAACAAAAAGTTTCTAAAATTATGAATGTAAGTGGAATAAAGAACACTTGCACTTATTAAATATTTTATAATTTAAAAAGTCTTTCACCTCTTATTTTCATCCTTGTAAAAAACCTAGGTGATAGGAAGGATTGGTGACATAATTTGCATTCTTTTTATTATTTTTCTTTTTTTTTGAGTTGGAGTCTCACTGTATTGCCCAGACTGGAGTACAGTGGCACGCTCCCGGCCACCACAGCCTCGACTTGCTGGGCTCCGGCAATCCTTCCACCTCAGCCTTCCAAGTAGCCGGGACTACAGGAGCGTGATACCATGCCCGGCTAATTTTTGATTTATTGTAGAGACGAGGTCTTGCCAAGTTGCCCGGGTAGGTCTTGAACCCATGGGCTCAGGCAATCCACTCGCCTCCCCTCCCAAAGTGCTGGGATGACAGGCTGTGCCACCGAGCCCGGCCTTATTCTACATAGTTTTAAGCAGATTAGACAATTAATAAAATTTTCCTCAATATGCTTTATTTGGATTTTAAACATTCGTGAATTGTAACAAATACAATAATTAAAAGATGTTAAGTTTCTACACCTGTATTTTTTTTTTTTTGAGTTGGAGTCCCACTCAGTTGCCCAGACTGGAGTGCAGTGGA